CCTGGGACCTTCTTTTTACCCCCTATGTATTTAAAAAAGGACTTCTTATTGTCCTTAATCTGGGAAGCTAGCCCCAGTTCCATCTCTGCCTTGGCCTTCCTAACTACCCCCCTACATCCCTGAGCAACTGCAGAATAGCCCTCCCTGGTGATGACCCCTTCTTTCCATTGGGTATAAGCCTCCTTTTTAGCAAGGAGATATTCCCAGATGCTTTTGGTGAGCCATGGAGGCTTGTGTGCTCTCCTGCTCACATTATCCTTGTCTACATTTTTGGGTGCTTTGGTACTCGCTCTAGAGGGGGCTACTTTCTAGGACTGATGCAGGTAGCTCAGAACACTGCTTTCATTAACTCACTTTCTTCTCTCTTCCACTCAGAATCTGTTACCGGCCCCATTAGTTCTGCCCACCATTCATGAACTAGATCTCTTCAGGTAAGAGTGAGCTTCTCTCAGCGCAGTCCCCCCTTCCTGCCTCCTTCCTCTCTGCTCTCAGTGTCATTAGCTGATTGGGAGGGTGGCGGTTATCTAATGTGATCACAAAGTTGTTGCTGGCAAAGAGCATCAGTCTAGTGGGTTGGTGGGGGCCATGCAGTGTTTAAGGGACCTTCACAGGATGGAGAGGAGCATCTGACTGTCACAGCATGGTCTTATTTTCTTTTAGGAGCGTGTCTCAAGCCTTACCCTGTGTCTTGCTTTTTCTCACTAACAGATGCTTTCAGCCACTGCTGATTCACATCCAGATGCTGTGGGAGCTGATGCTACTGGGGGAGCCAGTTGTTGTAATGGCACCATCTCCTACTGTTTCCTCAGAAATCGTTCTGGCCCTTACCAGGTACTTGGCATGAATTCTGGTTTGCAAGTGACTGAACTGAATGAGACTGTTAATCCTCCTTCCTGGAGAATCATCACCTTGTGAGGTGATTTGCTTATGATTGATGTGTACATGAAAGTACCATATTTTCTAGTGTACAGACACACTTTCCCCCCAAAACTGGCTGCTGAAAATGTTGGTGTGCATTAAATGCAAGAAATATGGTAATAAGTTTCTGCTGCTATCACGAAAAGTACAAGTAAAATCTGCAGGCTACTAACAGGGTGCAGACCAATAACCAGACTCTGCTCGCTAGCTTCTGCTGCTCAGTTACCACAGGGAAAGATCTCTCTTTCTTCATTCAGCCTTTTAAAAGCAAGGTGTGTGTTTATATTCCAGGGCATGTTGTATGCGAGAAAATACAGTATATTTGTAAGATGAGAAACAGCATCGTTATTTTGTTTGAAAGAGACTTGTTTCTGTTTTCATAGAATTGTAGAAAATAAGGTTTGATGGGATCTGGGAGGTCACATCTAGTCCAATCCCCTGCTCAGAGCAGGACCAGCCCCAACTCCATCATCCCAATGTCAGAAACAGGAAGAGAACAGTGACTCGGCTTGCTGGTTGGTGGGCGAGGTGTTGGTTTTGAAACCAAATGCAAGTTCTCCTCTTCCCAGTTTTAAAAGCTGCCTCAATTTGGAGAGCAAAGCATGTCCCAACTGTCTCCTTTGACAGTACACATGACCTAGTTCCTCTAGGGTTGAGCTGCCGTAAAAGGGAGGGTCACCTGGTTCACCACCTTTTTCTTCACTGTTATTCTTGCAGCTGTCTGGCTCCTCTAAAATATTGCTGTGACTACCGCCCATATTTCACCATCCATGACAGTGAGTTTAGGGAGTACACCACCAGGACACAAGCCCCGTGAGTACCCTAATAGTCCCTTGTGACAGAGACTGCTCATTTATCACAAATACATTATGGGTCCCGTGGCAGTAGTGTTGCTCAAGCTTCCCCCTTTTCCCTATAGGCCAAACATCGTCGTGGGAGTAACAAATCCTTTCTTTATCAAAACACTACAGCACTGGCCACACATCCTTCGGGTTGGAGAGCTCAAAATGTCAGGTAAGGGGCATCCCACAAGGCAGTTACTTTATACATTTTTTTTTTCTATAGGGAAGTGGCTTTTATAGATTTAGGGCATTCCCAGTCAGGTGCATATACCTCTATCCTTATGAAGATCAGGGCATCAGAAAGGGTAGACCAGGCTTCTAGATCTCCCACTTGGTTGACGTGCTGAGTTCGAACAGTCACAAATTCATGAGTAAATTGGAACAAGTTTAGTGTTTCTTTCCTTCTGCACCTTAAGGAAGTGAGAGGCTTTTCTTGGGAGAGAAGGTACAGGGGAGCAGGAGAGAAGGGCCTGGAAGGGAGGACCAGGTGTTATCACTTGGAAAGCTGAGTTTGGCTGTAGCATGGACTGAGGCATTCTTTTCTGCAAGACCCCCTCATCCTTGGTTTCCTGTGAGCACCCTTGACTTGTAGGATCAGGTCGGAGAGCTCCCTTGGCCCCTGGGATGCCAGCACTAGCTCAGGGCTCACATCACAAGAGAATACAGTCTTGATTCTGTAGTGTGAGCCCTCCCTTACATTCCCTGCTGAAGAGGAGGGCTCTGGAGCTTTTATAACCTGCTGCTCGCCGGCGTGTCTTTCCACAGGCGACTTACCCAAGCAAGTCAAGGTGAAGAAACTAGCCAAACTGAAAACTCTGGACACTAAGCCGGGTAACTGCTGTTCTGTGTCAGATATGGTTTGACTGCATTTATGCTTGTTTTCAGTTGAGGCCTGGGTCTTGCAACAGTGTAGGCATCACGGGTGTTACCCGCCATCCCTTAACAGATGGGAGCTCCAGGGCTTCTGGGCTGCTTCCAGCCGCAACGCAGTAATTCTGAGGATCCTTGGCTTCCTCTTTCCCTTGCTGGGTCTGCTTCCTAGCCTGGGCTCTTCTAAGCCCTCCGCTATTATAACTTAGCTCTCTAAAGGCTTCTGATATAGAGAAAAGTCTCAGGAAACAAAAAGGCTTTTCCTGTCTTGGTTTGGAAATCCCATTAGTGTGCCTGAGAAAAGAGAAGCCTTGGAGATGGTAGAAGCAGCTTCATAGGCTTCCCCAAGTTGTCATAGTAAACCAGTGATTTGAGTGGCTCTCCTTTATTTAGGGCTCTGTAGGTAGATTGAATCACCCACCTGTTTTCCTTTTCCTGGCATGCCTACTCTTTTGCCCCCCTCTCTAGCAGTACAGCTGAGTTTTGGCTTCAGTTCTCCGTGGCTCACTCAGCCATGCTGCAGCGTTGCCCCTCACGCTGTGTGAGCTGGGAGCCTCAGGCTAAGAGAAGTCCTGGAAGTGGCAAAAAGCACCCACTTCCATCACCTGGCCAGAAGACACTTGCTTGTCCTTCAGAGAGCCACGTGTTGGGGACTGAAGCCAGTTATATTTCCTGTGGTAGCAATGTAGAACCTGGTTTGCATAGCAGCAAAGATCACAGAAGTATGTCACACCAGTGTGCTCCTCCCTGCACTGCCTCTCCCTTGGTAGTGGAGCTCAGTCTCTCCTCATGCTCTGAGTGACCTTCATCCTTAGAGCCTGGCTGCCTCATCACTAGGACCTCCCAGGACAGCATTATTCCACTGAAGAAATGAAAAACTGTAGGGGAGTATGGAAAGGCTCATGAATGCAGGGGACAGGACTTCTGGGGAGGCGAGGCCTGGAGTAGGGAAGTCCCTTGTGGAGGAGCCAAGACCATGGGTTGTGCCATGCTTCCAGCTCATCCCTGAGACTTTTAACCAGGTCCCATGAGGTGCGCAGCGCATCTCCTCCGCAGACAATCACCAGGAGAGATGCATCGGATTTTCTGTCTGACAGGTTGAGGGGGAATTGAGAGAGTTTTATTTTTGTTTTGTGTATCTGGGGTGGGGGGCATTATATTGTGATGAGAGCCCGTATTACCCAGCTGGGGAGATGCACCTGTGTGCCCATAAACTAGTCAGCTTGGGCTTCATCCAGGGCTAACTCCATTGGTTACATGACAGGGGAGCCTTGGGGTGCTGAGAAATGCTCGAGCTTAGTCCAGTCCTCAGTGTCACTTGCAGCAGCAGCTCTGGTGATCTCAGGAGTCTTTTCAGTTCGATTTCTCCTAACAGTTTATGCCCCTTGCTGGAAAATTCTCCTTTGCTCGCAACTGAGACCCTACTATATTAATTCATTCATTTACTAGATGTATATGCCACCCTCCCCAAAATAGGCCCATGGGAGGGTCTTACAATATAAAACAAGATAAATTATACAAATATTTTAAAATATATGATTTTTACTACCTTTAAAAATGGTGCATGATGGATGGTGATTTCTCTGTCTAGGAATCTACACGTCTTACAAGACTTTTCTGCACAAAGACAAAACTCTGATAAAGAGGCTGTTGAAGGTAGGTGCTTCCTGTCCATCTCCTGATGGGGAAGTAGGGAACATAGGCCAGTCAGTCTTACCTCGGTCCTGTGGAAGGTTTTTGAGAGAATTATCCTGGCGCATGTCTGCGAGGGGCCAGCAGGGGAGATTTATGCTTAGGGGCAAACAACACAGGTTCATTAGCGGCAGGTCATGTCAGACCAACCTGGTGGCCTTCTACGACCAGGTCACCGAATCCTTAGGTGCAGGTGTCACAGTGGACGTAGTCTTTCTGGACTTTAGAAAGGCCTTCAACACTGTCTCTCACCCCATTCTCATTAAAAAACTAGGGGACTGGTGTCGATACCTACACAGTCAAGTGGGTCACTAACTGGCTGGAGGGCTGCACCCAGAAAGTGGTGGTGAACAGGTCTTATTGACCCTGGAGGGATGTGGGCAGTGGGGTCCCCCAGGGCTCGGTCCTTGGGCCCGCACTGTTCAACATCTTCATCAGTGACTTGGACGAGGGGTAAACAACACCCTGTTCAAATTTGCAGACGACACTAAGATGTGGGCGGAAGTGGGCATGCCAGAAGGGAGGAATAGACTGCAATCGCACCTAGACAGGTTACAGGGGTGGGTGGACGAGAACAGGATGGGATTCAACACTGACAAATGCAAGGTGCTGCACCTGGGGAGGAACAACCAGCACCATACCTACAGGTTGGGGAACTCCCTTCT